GCGCAATGCAAGGCAGAGATCACCGGCCTGGTAGAACAGAAGACCTTTCCCAGCTGTGACCACAACGCACGAGGAGGTGATTCTGGCGCTTTGTTGCTTCCCTGGAGCCGAAGCTCGCAGTCCGACCACTTCCAACTTCTCCACTCTCATTGTGGGGCAGAAGAGAGAAATGGTTTTGAACCTACTGACTTTTGAAATTCTTAAATTCCGTATATTTCATGGACTATGTTGAGAAATGAGACAGTTTTTTCTTTTTATTAGCACTTTTTTCTTCATTATGTGAAAATAGGGTTTATTTTCTGGGGGAGGAAGGAAGTGTACAATAAATATCAATTATAAAATTTCATATTTCTTCGCTTTTCAACTTAAAAACAGGCCCCTTAGCCCTGATTGGTTATTTACCTAACACGTGAGTTACAAACCAGGAAGTGAAGCAGCATCATGAAGCTGATGTAAACAACAAGTTATCGGCCTCCGGTTCCTTCTCACAAATTGTGCGACCCAAGCAGCACACACCGGACCCGCGTGGTACACAAACGTGCTCGCGCAGGGAACGTGTTTCTGTAGCCAGAATTTGCGCAGAGCGACCTGGAAACTGAACCACGCCGGGAAGCTTTATGGCGAGTGGAACAACACAACATGCTGACACCGTTAAAAACCCTTCAGAGGAGAGACATGGTTTGTTAGTTAAAATGCTGGGATAATGAAACAAAGCATTAATTACACTATATATATATTATAATATGATAAATAATAAAGTTTGGACAGAAAGTGTGTCCAAACCTTTGACTGGTATATATATATATATATATATATATATATATATATATATATACATATATATTTGTATACCTAAGTCTGGTTGTATGGAGGTGACGTACTGAACTATTTAGGACCAGACACGGGACACAAGACAGACGGTGTTGAAAACCGGCCACTGACAAGCAGCCCCTTCTCCCCTCTCGTCGCCCTGATAAGCCGCCCCGCGCTGGCTGAACCACACGCCTCATCACGGGCCGGGTGGACTGAGCAGAGCCGACAGGTCTACCAGCGCGCTGACGTTGTTATCAGTGTGAACACACCGGGCGACGCGGTGGAGCTAAAGACACCTCTTTCTCACAAGTGACCGGGGAAAATACCTCCGCCAGCTCCCAAACGTCTCGTCTCACGAGACGAACTCATGAGCTGTCTTCATCCCGGCTGCAGTGGAGAAGGGAGGGACTGTGGAGAATGTATTATACACATTATCTACTTTCCTGTATTTTAACGAATATCGACTAGTTATAATTCATTTTCCAGACGGCGGCACGCCCCGAGCTGGACGACAAAGTCAAAACCCTTCACCCCTCCAATCGGGAGCAGTTTCTATTTTTCTCGTTGCTATCAACACGTCGTTTCTGGCACGTTGCCCCCTCTGTCCTCCGTCCCTTTCTCTCCCCCCATCTGTCTCGCTGATTGCCCTGCCTCTACTCGCCTGCGAGGCCTGCCTCTCCTCTCGCGTCTCTAATGAGAGCGTGTGTTACCCAGGCATTCAGAAAAACCTCCTCTGCTAATTACATGACAAGCATCTCGTTCTGGAACCCTAATGAAGAGGAATAGCGAGCGGGAGACGCCACTGGACTGCTGTGTGTGTGTGTGTGTGCGCGCTGGGGAGGGGGGTCAAGCTGGCCATTGGGTGGGGTGTTTGTGTGTGTCGGGCGGTGGGGGGGGGGGGAAGGATATTCTGGCGCCCGTCCCGCAGCTTATCAAACGGGGGAGGCTGGACTCAGCATCTCGTTCTCTCTTCCTCCCTCCTCGTCCTGCTTTTTTTTTTTTTCTTCCCCTTTCATCTAACTGCACTCATCTTCTTTTTCTTTCTCCTCATTAAAGATCAGAAAAGGGCGTCGCTCTGCCAAGCAGCGTTGAGTTTACGCTCGTTAAAAGAAAATATACGGTATGATGCTTGAAAAGGGCAGTGTTCAGGACGCGTTCTGCCGCTGAGACGATGACGTACAAGAGCACGCGTAGCAAGAGAGGACGGGACAGGAAAAGGGAGAGAGGGGGGGAGGGAGAGAGAGAGGGAGAGAGAGAGAGAGCGCGCGGCCTGTGGTTTTGAAGGAACTTGTTCTGTCGAGAGGCACACATCGGAGAAACAGGAGATGTCCCGTACCGTCCCCTCGTGCACGGCTCGGGAAACACGGACCATCTGGAGGCTACAAGCGCACACTCACGACCCATCAGATATTGAGGATGTTTGTCTGATTTACAGGCCCTATTTAGGACTGTTTGGACAACTCGGCTGAGGGATCGGTGCTTTAATTAAAGATAATACCGAAAACTAATATTGCCCCCCCTGGACCTTTGCCTCACAGTCAACAGTGCAACAAAGTCCCGGGTTCTGCGGGCGAGGGTGAGAGTCTTAACCGGGTTTACACGTCTAAATGAATGCAGTCAGCTCTGGACACAAAGGCCTCTCCAATGTTCTTTATTTCACCCCCCCTACTTTCTCTCTGCCGACGCCAACAGCAACGTGGGCCTTTTTTCAGGCCCCAGCCCACCGCGGCGATGGCATGTTGATACTGTCATAAAATATTACATCCTCACTTTATTCATTAGAACTGTGCTTTAATCTAAAAATAACGTGGGCAGGGAATGAGACAGAGTTTTCAGCAGCACACAGAGATTAGGCCTGTGCTCCTCTCGCTGAGCACCACAGCTCGGAAACACTGAGGCCCGAAATAGACGTTTCTCCTCATAAAGGGCTCCTTCTTTGTAGTCGGCATACAGCAACAACATCTGCAGGGCAGTTTCTATGGGGGGAAAAGATTCGGGCAGGCTATCAAAGAGAGAGGCGATCTCCTGTGAGAAGTAGTGGGCGGAGGACTTCCATATTCTTTCTTTCTTTTCTTTTTTTCACCCTCTCTTGCTCTTTCCCTCTGTCTCTTGCTTCCAAAAAATCTGAAGCAATCAGGAGGATGCTAATAAAAGAAAATTAATATCACCTGTCAGCGCTATCTTTGGAAGATCCAAAATGAGAAAATGAGACCAAAGGATTCACAGTCTGGAGCTGTTCAGCGAGATGCAGGAAACCAGCGGAGGACAGGCAGGAGTGTGGTTCGCCGGGCTGATTTGAAAGAGAAGGATGACAGGAATCAATCAATGTTCCAAAGACAAACACCTACGGCACCATGACAGCCTAATGGATTGGGCCTGGTGCGTCATCCTCGGTTTGTGGAACTTAAAGTATATTTACTGGGACGGCATAGTTTCAAATTGTTTATCTTTATTTAGTGTTTCCTTGGAGATGTCACGTCTGGACAGATGCTGAGGATAAGGAACGTGACCTTTACATGACTCCACATGCTGTATATTTCAGGGTGGAGAATGAACCTGACGTGAAACCTTTCACTCACCTCTCGCAGTCGTACAGTGAATATTTCTAAACCTATGTGGCAACTGAAATAAAGTATGGAGATTTTCTTTTCCAGCATCATGTGAATGATTTCAGAGGAAGAGATGGACCCGTATCAGTTTAACACAGAGCTGATGTTGAACAATAAGACCTCCCTCATAAACCATCCACATCTCTTGACTATATGCTAAAAAGGCGGCGCCATAGCGTGGAGGTGAAAGGCGAGGAAGGGGGGGGGGCGACTTGATGATAGTGGCGGAGCAGAAGTGAATCCAGGGCTCTCGCCTTTGAACCGGTGAGCTGGCTAATCGGAACAGCATTGCCTGGGCACCGGCCGAAGACCTGGATCACGGCAATAAGTCATACCGTCGCCTATTGCCCTCGACGTGTTGCCCATCTGTGGCCCCCCCCCTCTCGCGTGCTGAGGCCCACGTGACGCACAGAGCTTCAGACGAGGTCTTGAGAAAACGCAGGCTGCCTGCCACTGAGCCCCTCATGGTACTTCTTCACGCCTCTCACCTTGGACTTGACCCCCACCGCCCTCCCCTTACCCCCCCCCCCCCCCCCCCCCACGCCCTCTCCTGAGCTCTTCACTCTCACACACACACACACACACATCCTTACCCAAGACTTTTAAGATTTACTGTTGAGAGCAGTGGCTGTCAGGAGGAGCGAACCGTGCACTTTCTAATTCAAACAAATGCAGCACCGGGGTCACGGAATCATCACGGAGTCACAAGGTGTTTCAGATGACTCGCAAGTGTTGAGTGTTAGTCTGATAGAGAGAGAGAGAGAGATGAGAGATGAGAAGAGAGAAGTCTACGCCGTTACGGGTGAGCAAAGCAGCGATAAGCTTGCGACCTCAAGCCGTGGAAACAAATAAAGCGATAAATAAGCACATAGATAAAGATCCACGCTCTTACCTGGTTATCACCAACCGTTATCACGGCAGGTGGATGTAGATCTTGCGCTGGGCTGGGGAGGCTTCTCATTTCGCAGAAGAGCGGTCCGCCATAGCTCTAATTGGTCTCCCACATGCATTGGCTGTTGGTAGTTTAGGAGGTGGAGGGTGATAAAAACGGTAAATACACATTTCCAGGTGCATTGTGGCAGAACCTGAGACGAACCGATGATCTCGAAGTGGTTGGTTTGAGGCCGGCTTGACACGCGATTTCAGAGGTTTACCACCAATATGCCAGGAGGTGTTTTATCAGTACATTTGAAATATTAGAGCTTGACTCTGACAAAAGGTTGACACACACACGTGTCCAAGGAAATGGCCGAGTGCAGTTTGAAAAATACGTTTCAGTTGAAAACATCACAGGAAGATCATCCATTGTGGTTATCATCGTGTTTTCCTCCCTCTTTCCTGCTGTGTTTCCCATTGACACTTTGAGGATGAGAGGAAAACAAACAAACAAACCAATAAACAAGCTTAATCCATATTTAGCCGGAATTGAAACAATTGAAAAATGGACAAAAAATAAAAAGAACCGTTGATCATTGTTGCCTTGTTGACTTCCCTCCCCCTCCTCCCCCCTCACATGATTTGGGGATATTACAGAACATCTGATGGAGAACTTTAGTCACACTCAACCCATTGTTGATCGGCACGCGCTCTCACGTGCACACCTGCTCCTGGGCTGCGCGTCGCGTCCCGCGCTCCCCCAGGGAGGAGAAGATTGAGGGAGGGACCAGAAGTGTGCATAATATTCCTTCCTCCGTGGGACTGGCTGCGAGCAGGTACAGCATCTCCACCGCAGTCCGCCGCTCAGCCTCCAGCTCACAGGAAACTTCTCGCAACGCAGTCGGTAAGTGCAAAGTTTTATTTTTTATTTTTTTTTAACCGAAATTAAGTGTAATAAAACTTTAACAGGGGAGAGGAGGTGTAATATTATCGGCGCGGGACGCTCCTTTAAAGGCTTTAAAGTTTCTGTTTCTCCCGTCAGGAATTCTCATAAACCGCGCAGCGCGTTTTTTTCTTCTTTTTTCTCTTAAATCGAGTGCGCCGTTTCGTCTCTGCTCATTTTTGCGACTTTGCAGCAGCGGCTAAAAGTCAAGTCGCATGCATGTATCGCTTTTTAAAACGCTATTACGCAATGTCCTACGTGCTTGAGACTGCCTTCACAAGAACTCCAAACATACAATGTATAAGTAGGATCTATTTTTAAACCCGAATGAATAATCGGGCTTGTATGAATGCTCACATCTCTTTCATTGAACATTGCTTTCTTGTTTTCTCCCCATGACATTTAAGCAGAAAGTGCATGCATTTGAATGACAGAACTGATTTGCACATTGTTCACTTTCTGTGTGGGTACTTTCTGTTCCTATTCTGGGACAAGAGCGTCTGAATCTTATTGAGCTGGTGAACATCTGCAAGCATTGAGCAGTGGCGCATCTTCTCTCAATCTGTCAGCAGCTGCCACAAACTAGCTTTGCCAAATTGCTTAACATATGAATGTGAGGAGGATGGGACCTGCCACTGCCCATACACACCAATCCCCCCTCTAATGTAATCCTTCAGCTCAGTTCCCAGTGTCTTTTGTTGATGCTGCCTCAAGTGAACCATGTTAAGTGATAAGCAAAGTGTGTAGGAGGCGAGGAAGGAGAGGAAGGGGAAGGGAAAGAGGAGGAGGAAGAGGTGAGGCAGATGAGAAGAGGAGGAGGAGGAGGCGGAGGCGGACCTTGCGAAAACGAGAAAGGAGGGATACATTTGAGAGAGATGAGATGGAAATATTAAGTTGACAGGCCTCTGGGTGGATGGGTTTGCTTCAGCTGAAATCCCTTTCTTCCCACAAATCAAAATTAGCAGCGTTTGATTTTAAATAAATGGATCAACGCTCCTGTTGCCTCCTTTAACCCAAATCAGATAAAGATCGGATGTGTTGGCAGGTTTGACCTAAACTTTCAAACCGTGGCCCTGATGTTGCAGGTTCTTTAATATCCACTCAAATTTCTCTTTTTTTGACCCCTTCTCCTCTCCCTGCCTCCCTCTCTCCTCTTTCTTTCACACACACACATACAGTGCATACCACACACACACACACACACACACTTGCACACAGAGTGTAAACAGCTCGCTACAGGTCGCTTCACCCTTCGCCCCCGTCTGTCTGCCGCGTTGATCCCTTCAGCAGGCCCCGCTTCTCCTGTCCGCAGCGTCCGCGATGAGTTACTACATGGATCCCTGTTTCTTCTGGTCCGGCTCTTCACCCCTGCGACCGCCTGGGCGCAATGGTAAGACCTCCCCCGTAAATCACGTCCGTGTTAAGGCGGCCTCGGCTACCTGCTGCACACGGAAGGGCCGTTTTTTTGTCCGTGTGCAGGACTGTTTCCTCTGCAGCGTATGACCAGAGCGAGGGGGTTACCACATGAACACAGCCTATCTGAACCCTTTTTTCCCGTAGAGTTTCGTTGTTGCGCTAAAAGTCGCCGCATCTGTACACGCTGTTCCGTATGATTTCGTCAAAAGGTTAGGAAACAGCAAATTTCTGGAAGGCTGCGAAATCGCCCTCACAAGCTGCTCGGCGTTGCGCAACCACCATGAGCCAGGATGCGCTTCTCTTTAGCAACAAGGCAATATAAGCTACACTGTAAATATTGAGACCTACAGGCCTCCAACCTTGCCGCTAACCAATCAAATTGGAGTCAGGGCATCCCCGCTGAATGACACTTTCCTCAGCTGAGCCACCCGCGGTGCTTTTCAGCCGTGTGTTTGCAGGAACACCGGGGCTCTTAACGCTTCCCAAATGAGAAAGCCGAATACAGAGTCAGAGAGAGCGGGGGCCGGGAACATTGGGATTCCTGTCAGATGAGCGTTTGAAGGGGTGAAGGCCAAGGAGCGGCAAAATAAATGCCTCCATTTGTATGCAGAGCGCCATCACATTAGGCGGAGAGACCGGGGTTATATGCAAATGGCAACCCCACCCTGCCCCGGTAGACAACACGGAGGGATACTGCTCCCCGCGTCCTAATTGGCTCAGGTGGTGGGGGTTGGCTTTGAAATTGAGACTACTGTATACCAGGGCAGACGTGGTCAAAAGGTGAAACTGGATCACCCAGCTCTCTTCTTTTGAATTTACACGAGCGGACTGATTTTCTGTTTAGTGATTGACAGCTTCTTATGTGCTTCACAAAGACCGATTGCAGAGAACAGTCGGGGGGGGAAATGACGGCATGTAGCAATTAAAAATAAAATGCCAGAAGCCACTTTACTGCAAAAGGTGATCTTTGTTCAGGCAAAAACGATGCCGCACAGAGAAAGGCCTCCCTAATGTGGCACCTGTAACATAAGCATAATGCGGCGCGCTTTGTGTTAAATAGGGAGTCATTTTTCAGACACAAGCTTACAACAAAGTGCTTACATTTGTGACTGAAATAGAAGCACCGATGTCCCGAATGACTATAAGGACAGCTCAGTTCCTTAAAGATCTTACGCGCAACTTGGGAACCCTGGAACAGCATCGTCGTTGACTACACTTCATTATATCGGTCTGCTGCACACTGCAGCTTCTTCCTATTAGTGGGCCGACGAACAAGACATCGAATGAATGAATATGTACAGCTACAGAATAATCATCTGGCATTGCATGAGAACATTCGTTTATTGTATTTTTGATGAATGGTTTTATGTTTGGATATTGTAAAACTGTTTCTCAACTAATGCAGCTTTGCACAAATATACGGTATGTTCATTTTACAAAAATTGGTGTTGTTATCGCCACTGTTATGTCAAATCCATAAATAGTCCATGTGGGTCCTTTCCATGCCATCTACCCCCCCCCCCGGACAGATAGGAGAGAGCAACGTCCCACACAAACCTCTGCAGAACCTCGTAAACTGTCCTCCCCGATCCTGGTGTCATGTTTGCCTCCATAAAGCTGGCCGGCTGCTGATAAATGCCGCCGTGCTTAAACAGGAGCTTCTTATCAGATCGGCAGTCACTCCGTCAGCCGCTTTGTCAGTTACTAATATGACATATATAGCATGTGACAGTCTGACATTAGTAAGATCAACTGAAGCGCTGCTCTCAGTGTCATTTTGCACGTTACAAACTCTATAGCAGATAAAAAATGTGGAGTATTACGATGACTTTGTATCTTTATTCAAAATTATAGTAATAGCAGGTTAAAAGGAACACAATTCGACACATTATTTTTGGGTCTGAACCTGCTTGAACAAACTTCTTGTACCTTCTTGTAACTTCAGCTACACTTATGTTCATAACACTTTCATACAGAACCGTCCAACATTTGTTGAGTTTCATGCTTCTAGTCAAACGAAGGCTTTGATATGCTAAAAATGTTCTCTTCCACCGTATTATCTCTTGTATCCACAAATAATTTCATATCTGTCCTGGCCCTCCTGTCAAGTGCTGACTTTAGACTTCCCTTTTGGTGCGACCTCTTACGTGAACATTCATGTGATAAGCGGAATAAATCAACTCGGCAAAACATAAACCGAATGAGTCAAATTTAGCCGTTTATCTGTGCGGGAAAACAATGGAAACAAATTCCAAGGTCACGCTGTCGGCCACAGCTAAAGTTTGATCAGTTGTTTGCAGCTTGGCGCATTGAAGCTGATGAAACCAAACATACCGAAGTAAATCGACTGCTCAGTCACCTACAGTATCCCTCGAATCCATGCCGCAGTTGGCTTTGGCTAAATTGTGCTGTGTGTTGTTTTGTCTCCAGCGGCATGGCGGAGGGGCAGCGTTGGGACCTCCGAACCACCACCCGGCCGTGGTTCACCCTCAGCAGCAGTTCTTCCCGTCACAGCCCCTTTACGTCCAGGACCGACCCCTGCAGGAGGTGCCCAACGGACATGACCTGTGCCCCGCAGGTAAGACCGGGAAACACACGGTCTCACCTCAAATGTGCTTCCAGCTCAACGGCTCAAAGCAAGCGAAATACTTTCGGTTGGGGCGGAATGATCAGGAGTCGGGAATCATTCGCACTCCAGCATTCGCATCTGCCACGGTGGCGGACGCGGCTGGACACCCCGATTCACGCGCGTTGGCTCCGCTTGGCCTGGTGGTGCTGCTGCTAATCCTTCACCAGATCCCCCCCCCCCCCGCCCCTCTCACTCCCCGTCCGTCTCGCTCTTTTTTCTTCTGAGGACAACCAAATGCTGTGCATTCTTCTTCTGCTTCTTCAAGTCCTGTCCCTCCGCTTAATTCTTTCTTTCCTTCATTCTCCAGTTTATTTTAAACTGGAACATTCCTTCGAGTGCATTTCCCTGTGTTTGACTCCGGCCCCTCTTCTCGTCCTCAAAAGTGATTGATGCTGGCGGACTGGGACGCACGCCACGGGAGTAGGGTAGGGTTGCCGGGGGAGCACAAGCTTTCTTCCGTCACCTCCCTGAGCTGGATGCAGGGGGCAAGACAGGGGTCTAAAGGGCGGCCATCTTTTTCCCAAGCTTCTGGTTTGGTCTCTGGAGAGGTGGAGGGGGCCTGAGTGAACATGTGTGTGTGTGTGAGAGGGAGTCAGGATCTGATGGGATTTGCTGATGTTTGTTGTCCAGAGACACACTCCTCTGGAGCCCTCTCTTCATTGCTCCCAGCGCTAAACCGCTGACATAAACATTGCTGAGTGGAAAAAAATGACCGAGCGTTGACCTTTTTTTTCTTTTCTTTTTTTTCTTCTTCTCATCCCTCTCCACAGTCCTACGCTATGCAGACCACGGGTCTACGAGCCTTCTTGCCACCTGGATAGGTTGTTAGAGTCATTAAGCAAACGTTGGTGCTGTCGTGTTTTTGTGCTACCAGTATAAGCCGTTATATATGTCTGCGCTAACCTTAAAAGTACCCAAATGACCTCTGACACGCGCCTCCAACCCTGCGGCCGTCGCTTTGAGTCAATTCTGTCAAACCGAAATCCTGCTGGAATACGTTGGGCTTTCAGAACAGAACTCTTCCCGTTTGTATATAATTAGAGATGGGGGCAAAAACTATTTCAGCTCCCTCCTGCCGTGAAAATGATTTGGCAACTGGGAGATTTCTGCTTTGGAGTAATTTGTGCGTAGCATCTAACCACTGAGGTTATGCCAGTTATATGAGTCGGATTATTCGCTGGCTGTGTGCTATGAAACCAATTAGGAGACATATTAGTCAATCAACTGAGGATTTGCTAGAATACCGCGGCGTAACAATTTCACCAGTTACACCAAGACAAATACAAACACGTCTCGCTAAATTCCATAAACCTTGATAACCTGATCTTTTTTTTTTCTTTTTCAATTGGGGCAGCAGACAGTTGTAAACACCACGTTGAAATATCGTCACCTTTTACCAGTTGAGATCCCAAACATGTTTGCAAAAAGTTACTTTATTTGCACATTCAACAGTTATCATTCATCATCCATTCATGAGGAGTCGGTTTCAGGCTGCAACCGGGATGCAAGTCCAGTATTAACTCTCTTTTGGCTCAACCGCTAAAGGAAATGTTTTGCTCTGTGACTTCTAAATTCACTAGCTAACTTTCTAAGTCTGCCGTAGTTGTGAGCAGAAGGTCACTCTAAAGCTTCGTAAACGCCGAGAGGAGCAGCGGTTTCAGGTTCATCCCTTATTTGAAATGTTGTCATATAAAATATTGATTATAGGCACTTTTAGTTTTCTGTGAAACCAGACTGAAATGAAAATTTCTGACAATTAAAAGAAGATTTACCAGAACAATAGTTACGAGGTGATAAAAAACGACTTTTAACTCCATATAAGAGTACACGCTTGATGGAATTCCTTACTCTCTCACACATTTCATCCACTGTCTTGGACCTGAGGCTAATATATTCAGTTTAATATCAAAAGTAGGTATAAGCCATTCGATTTTACTACTCGCGTCACTTCTTTGAGAGTGGATTGGGTGTTGTTAAAATAAAATGTGCTGGTGTGAGAAAGAAATGGCACAGAGCAGATGTTAGGCGAGGATGTTAGATGGGAAAGGACCATCGCATGTTTGGCCCGGCGTGTCACACACGCTGCTTCCTGACAACAGCCATGCCATGGTGATGTTTACACTAACCCAGCTCTCCTCTTCACTACGCAACGCTCAAACCACACTATCTGTGTGTGTGTGTGGGTGTGTGTGTGTGTGTGTGGGGGGGGGGGTTCGGGCCTACTATCCCATTGAAATCCAAGCACAGATATCACACACAGGCATCCACACTCCAGCAACATCCTGCAGTGATGCACGCTCCACATATTCATTCATTAAATTCACACCCTGCACTCTGTTGTGTATTGTATTACTGCATCCTCCCATTCAGTCAGACAGGCGAACACACACACACTGTCACGCGCACGCTCCCAGGCACTCATGGGTTCCCTGTACATTTAAACGTGCCCTCCCATTTAGTATGCGCATACACAGCTGTGATCTGGCACTCAGGGACCATTGGCCTGCGTTTTATTTGATGTGATTTGACAGCTGGACGGTTGGACGAGGAGGCGGACGGGGTGGGAAGCTAAGGAGGGTGGGCGGAATACAGTTTTGAGGAGAGAAGACAGATAAAGCGAGTCACAGGGCTGAGACCCGGGTCGGTGGGAGGAGAGATCGGGATGTGGAGCCTTTAGGGGGAGGGGGATAGGGGGAGGTGGTGGGGGGGGTCTTCGCCTCTGATGAGATGAGGGGCACGTCCTCACGGGCGCAGGCCCATTTTTTTTTATTTTCAAAAAGTAAACAGGCAGCCCGCGGGGGACCGGGGGGTTATGGGAAAGGAGGAAACAGTGATGCTAATCAGGCCAGCGCACACTTCCCCCTCAGACAATAAAACAAAACAAGAGTGGAGACACGGAGAAGGGCTTGAGCTGCCGTGGTCCCACAGTTGAACTGCGAAGTCTGATGACAGTTCTGAGGCGAGAGGTGTTGGTCAATAAACAGAGGAAAAAGGTAATCGGTTACGACCACACAGCACATTTGTAGATGTCGGAGTATTTTTAGCAATCTCAACTATTTCCGTTTCTACGTTCTGAGAAGCGATTTCACTGAGCATTGGGAAATTACAGTAAAAGCGTTCTGGAATTTCAAACCCGTAACTCAAAGTACTTTTCTTCCCTGAAAAGAGCAATTCCTTTTAAAACTCTTTTTATTTCATGAGCCATTGGAGTGTTTTGCTAAATAAATGCTCTGCACCTCGCAAACCGCTGCCCAATGGCCGACCGTTGAATCGGGAATCAGAAAACATTTATTGCCATAATATGTCAGACAGTAGTCTTCCTTTTTTCTGGAGCCTCATCGGCTCATTCAGTGAAAATGGTGTCAAAACGAGACGCAAACGCTACTTTTTTTTTTCCACGCATGCATCACGACAACGTGATCTACATCAGCAGGTTATACGGTCACCCGTTCACTCGCCAATACAGACTACGCGGACTTTAAATCCAAGACTCTCCACTCATCTAAGTACTGGAACTACGTGCTGCTGGTGTGTTCCAACGCAACGCAATTCATGCAAATGTGGTAAGTTCCTGTTGATAGCGGTGACTCATTACGAACCAGCCCGCTTGGAGAACATGCAGTTCTGACACACATACGATCACCGACGGCTGATGAAGCAACAGATGCCAGCTCACCAGGAAAGGTTGCGCTTTAATGAATCCTAGGAGAGACCTCCTATTGTTTTAATGTTTGTGTCGGGAGCTTAGCAATATTAACAATGCGTGCACGCCAGTAATAGTAAGTACATTACTGTTCCTCCTACTGTTTCATGTTCTTTCATTGTGGCATCAAGTCCAGCCGGTGAAGGTCTCTTCTTTCCTGCTATAATTCAATATACACAACACGCAACGAGCAGCAGCTATGTCACCCACAGCCATGATCATTATTCTGTTGAGTGTACTTTGTAATGTACAACCTTCCTTTGTTTAATGAGAAATGAACTAAAACCACAGACTGATGTCCCCCCCCCCCCCCCCCTCAGCTACAGCGACTATGGGAGCTTTATCTGAGGTGGTAACAGAGAGGAGGGAGGGCGAGACGACAAGAGGGAGGTCCGGGAGGCAGAGAGACTCGGAGGGGGGGGGTGGGGATAATTGAATTATCCGCACAATGGAGTGATGGGGGGCACGTGGTGCCGTTAATGGAGGAAGAGATGTCCTTTTTAGCGAAGCTAATTGTTCAGAAAAGAGCCGAGCCTTTGTTCAGGGAGGCCCTGCGACTTTCCACTTACACGCGCGCACACACACACACACACAGGCACTCACACACTCACACACACACACTCACACGCTCACTCCCTACCACACACGCATGCATTTTGGAGACTGACCCATGTCCTATCCCTCGCCGTGACTATAACCTTCACATAAACCTCAGCCTAAACCAGGTCTTCCCCCTAAAATTGGCAGGATTTGAATCACGGGGACGTGCAATTGTCCATATTTTGCCGCCCCAAAAAAGCCAATCCCAATGGTGTGACTGCGTAATCAGATCCATGTCCCCAGACGTGGGTAAAACACACCCACACACGCAGGAATACATTACTCCTGTCCTAGCTAACCCTCTGATCTCAGCAGGGGGACATTCAGCCCGTGGCAACTTCACACGGCATCCGCCGCAGATAGAGCCGAGACTGGGCTACTAGACGCGGACCACAAGGACCCCACTGTTTTACTGTTGTACCGTCTGCTGTCTTTTTCTGTCTGTGTGTGTGTGTGTGCGTGTGTCCGTGCGTGTGTGCGTGTCTGCGAATGAGATTAATCACAGGAATCAGGAATCTTACAGAATTTTACAGAAATGTAAAAAAAATTAGTCATACATACAAGGAATTTGACTTGGCGGTTGGTGCGTGACAGTAGACGGTGTAACAATAGACACCAAGACAGCAGTGCACAAGTAATAAAATAA